TTTTCTGGAGGACTTGACTAACACACTCTTCTTATAATCTATGTTGCCTTGCCCTCTCCCTTTATAAAATCATTCTTTGCTTCTTTTGTATCAGGGGAGCTCCTTATGGTACTTTGCTAAAATTAAGGTATAAGTGACATATAATAACCTACATATATTTAAAGCGTACAATTTGATAAGTTTTCATATGTGAATACACATGTGAAACCATCATCATAATCCTGATAATGAACATATTCATCTCCCCAAACTTTTCTCATTCCCTTTGTAATCCCTCCCTCTTGTGTCTCCCCCACCTCCCCCTCCACCCCCCCAACCACTGATATGCTTCCTATAAGTATACATTCATTAGTATGTTCTAGAGTTTACACAAATGAAATCATATAAGAACAATCTTTTTAGTATAGCTTCTTAAACTCAGCATAATTACTTTAAGATGTGTTCTTGTTGTAATGTATGTCAATAGTTCACTCCTTTTTATTGCTGAGCAATATTCTATTGTCCACATATGTATGGGGTTTTTTCTGGTGTCTCTAATTGTTTCATTGACCTATCTGTCTGTATTTATACTATCTCTATCCAACCTTGTTTATGAATACAAATGCAAAAAGAATCATAATCAAAAGATTAGTCTTGCTCTTTTCATTTAAGTTTTTAGATAAATGCTATGAAATATTCTTATTTCATTTTTATTCTATATGGAAAACAAATTGTCCAAGCACCATTTATTAATCTGCAATGCCACCTCTATCATACCAAAATTTTCCATCTATGCGAGGGACTGTATCTAGGTTCTTTCCTCTGCTTTTGTGGGTCAGTTTATTTATTATTGCATGTTATCACATTGTTTTAATTATTATAACTTCTTGAATCTTGTCATCTGGTACCATAATCCTTCAAATCTTTTTATTATTTTTTGAAATTGTCTTAGCTATTTTCAGCTCTTTGCTCATCCATATGAATTATAGAATGGTTTTGTCACTTTGAATGAAAAAATCCTGTGAATATTTTCATTGTAATCACCTTAAAGAAAACTCAGTTTTGCTATATACCAGCAATATCCAATGGTGTGGGAAAGAATATCATAGTCAAAAAAGCAACAAAAATACATAAGATGCCTAGTAATAGGATGAAAAAGAAATTTGTAAGAGCCCTATGAAGAAAACTAAACAGTTTAAGTTTAATAAACGAAGGATAAAAAATGAAGATTTGGATTTTTAGAGGAACAATCCATGTCTGGATTGGGAAATTTAAGCTTTTAAAATGTTAATTTGCACCAAAATAACTAAATATCAAAGAATACCAATCATAGTCTCAGTACTTTTTTAACGCAATAAAATTATTTTAAGAAGTAATTTGTCCAGTGTAAGAGAATTAAGAAGGGACTTGACCCGCCATATGTGAAAGTGACTTAAAACTCCACAGTAAGTAAAATAGTGTGCTGTGATATGGTACGGAAAGACAAATACATCAGTGGAATGTAATAGAATGGAACAGAATAGAGTGGGGTGGGATGGGATGGGATGGGATGAGGGAGTTCAGAAACAGACTCAAGGATTTTAAAAGAAAGAATTTAGTATATTATAAAGATGACATTTCAAATCAGTGAATGCTATCAGGATGCTTTTGGCTTCATGTAAATGAAAAAACTCCAACTAGACTAAATTATATATATTTAATCTATGTTAAATAGAATGTAGAATTCTAGAATATATTATTCATAACATATATATCCTAGGATATATTATTTCATATAGCAGAAAGTTCAGAGGTGATGTGGGTTCCAGGCATAGCACGACCAGGGCTACAGTCCATTTCCCTGCTCTTCTCTTGGCTTTGCCCTCCTCTGTATGTTTGCCTTTATACTTAAGCCCTATTCTCTCATTGTCACAAGAATGTTGTCCAACCAAACAAATAAGCTTGGGACAACCTGTTTATTTGGTCATGTAGCGTGGAAGGAAGAGAAAATCTTTTCTTCAGTCATAGGATGTATGTCCTTTGCTTCAGTCCAATTGGTCCAACTTACGTTGTGTACTCATCTCTGGTTAAAAGGAGAAAGCCATGTGCTGATTGGCTCAGGCTGGATCCTTTAGCCAGTCACAGATAAGGAGAATGGGATTGTCATAATTAACTCAGACCAATCAGAACTTCCCTTGGAGCTGGGGATGAAGTCAGCTTTCCTTGAGTCAAAAGGGCTGCAAGGATATAGGGTGGCTACATGAGCAAAGTTAGGATTTAATAGGAAGGAGAAAGGATGAATCAAATTGGATAGGCCACCAACAGTGCCTACTGCAGTGAAGAAAGAATTAAATACTTATTAAATTGTAATGGAATAATTAAAAAATTAATTTAGACCATTACCTCTCATCATATGAGAAATTCTTTTGCCCTAGGTCAAGAGTGTCTGTGGTTCTGGGTCCATCATCCTAGAGGAGGCAGAGCACTCCAAAAGGGATATCCAAGTGGTCTTCTTTCATCAGGTTGTTATTTGGACTGGTTCGTACTGGCAAGACCTTGACCCCTTCTAGCCTTTCACTCCATCTTTTTCTCTTCTTCCACTTCCCTCCAATCCTCATACATAATGATTACCCTTTTCTCCAATAAATGTCACTAGATTTTAACTTTATAATTTCAGAAGACCCCTTTCCACAATCAGTCTGCTAGAACTAGACCACAAAATCACCTTCAGCTAAGGCATCCTGGTGAGAATTGCCAGACAATTTTTTCTATGTTGACTTGATCAGATATTACAGTCCTGTGCTGCATCATGTTTTGATTAACAACAGACCACATACACAACAGTGGCCCCATAAAATTAGTACCACATAGCCTAGGTGTGTAGTAGGCTATATCATCTAGGTTTGTGTAAGTGCACTCTATGACGTTCACACAGGCATGAAATCACCTAACAATGCATTTCTCAGAACACATCCCTGTCATTAAGTGACACATGACTGTGTTATAGCTGTAAAACACTTACCTCCTTTCATTTCCCAAGACCCACACCCTATTCTTGATGTCTTTCCCAACTAAATTCCAAGTGCGATGCAGGCTCTTTCCTTCCTACTGTATACATACCATTTTGTAACTTGGACTATACATGAAATGCTATGAATCTCACTACATTACCTTTGGATCTAAGAAATGTCACATTTCTTTACTTTTTTAAATCAAATTAAAATTGATTCTAGTCCCCTCCCTCCCCTTCACAAAGATGGTAAGAAAACCCATCTCCGTCATGATGGAGCTCTCCCACCTCTGTCCCATGGAGGTCTTAAGCAGTGCACCTCATTCAGGTTCTGAGAGCCCTTTGATCCTCCTGCTCACCAGTCATCATGCTGATGTGTTCACTGTCCAAACGGCAGTGTTTCTTCAAGGCAAGTGGCTCGATGCCCTCCTGCCCAGCTTGACCAAGGCCCAGCCTCCCAAGATGCACCATCTAGCCACTCCTCTCTAAGGTTTTGCTCTGGAAAGGAGCAAGTTCCACTCAAAGGACCCCAACATTTTGAGCCTTTTATCAATCTTCGAATGCACTCCCTCACTCAAGGTTTGCCACTTTGGCCTTGTCTCTCATCACTTCTCCCTCTCCCCCACCGTTTTCTCTTCCTCCAGGAGCGTCCCTCATAATCTCTCCTCAAAGGATTTGGAACCAATATTAGCTTCCTTTTTCTGGGTATAGAAGTGAAAATAGTCCCTTTTTTTTCTTTTTGTTAACTGTAGTATAAGCTTGACAGTTGGCTTTTCTTTTTGTAAAGTAAGTACTTGACAAGTTTTGATTGCTAGGCATCTGCTACAAAGAGGCATTCACGTCAAAGACGGCTATCTCAAATAAACACTTTGCCAGCCACACAACTAGATAAAGAGCCAGGCTGTGACTTGCCCCCTCCTTTGTTTTGGAGATCTTGGTTGATTTCAATAACTGACCATTTGGGCCGCTTGTTTTTTCTCTTCCTGTGCTTTAAATTCCTGCTCTTGTGTTTTAAATTCATCAATAAAGAGTAAACCTGTGAAACCCTAGGGCCCACCCTTGACCTCAATAAAAGCAAAACCTGGGCTTGTACCCTCTCTCGCTCACTCTCTCTACCTGTGACCTTGCTGTGGGGCCCCAAGTGTGCCATGTAATTTCTGGGACTTGTTAGGTAATAAACCTTGTTCTTCAAAGTTTCCTGATGGTTACTGCTGAGAGCATTTTGCAATCATAATAACCACAAGGGCTGGTCCAACCATAATATTGGTTATCAATAGGCTAAGACCGGCACAAAACAATGTAACTTGTTTCAACAGTCTAGGAAAGAACTTTAGGGTAAGGTGTAGAACTGTCTAGAGAATCAGGAAGTCTGGATGAAATTTAAAGCATAGAACTCGAGAGTTTAAGAGACAAGGGAGACCTTCCAGCTACTTCCTTTGATTTTTGCTGCCCTGCCATTGAGTAAGAGCTAAGGGAAACAGCTTAAATTAACACTCATCAACATTAGAAATAGGGTCTAGGAGGGATATCCAGTGATCATTAAGTCCCTACCAGTAGCAGGTAGGAGGTGCAGCCCTGGGGGAGCCCAAACAGCATGGGCCAAGTAAAGATGCCTGCCCCTCATAGCGATGATGCCCCTTCTCATTCTTTGCCTTCTGTTTTTTTAGCCAGGAGAGAAACTATAATACTTATGTAATTAAAATTCTTTTTTTAATTATGTGTACATAAAATATCGGGTGTTTGCTAAGGTTGGCATCATGAGGCAGTCATGTCAATCCCATCTTAAGGAAAAAGTAATATTCATAATTGAGATTTCACTAAGAGAAATGGGAAATACTATTGAAGGATTGCAATATAGCTTTTATTGGCATATGACAAATATCTAAATAGCTCTGTTACTTGGATTTTGATGCATCCTTGAGCACATTGTCAGCTTGACACTAGGATGAAGCACTGTAGAGAGCCAGTCAAGCAACACACGACACATCTGAAGTACCAACACACACAAAGGAAGAAGGCCAGACGCAGCCTGTATTTGGCAGAGTACCATTTACTGGATGAAATTCTAAGAGAATAGACAATGGATTTAAACAAACAAACAAAAGAAGGCTTTGGAATGTATAGAAATCAAACCGAAGTTCCAAACTTTAAACTTCAGGCACATTTTCAATAATATATTTTGATAAACATTCCAGAAAGTCTTAAGTACATGGGTTATTGAAACTATAGTTTGCAGCTACCTTCTGTAGTGACTCTAGGATTCCAGAAAGAAAAGCTAATCTCTAATCTAGATAGCATGTTTGAATCTAACTATGCTTTAAAAAACGTGTTCTTGTGAGATTTGTTGACATGGACAAAATTGCCTATTTATGCATTAACCATGATAAAGTGTTGTGATTATTGTATTATTTTGGAGCAGTCTAATTCAGCTAAGGCCTCGTCAAGTAGTCATGAAATAAGGTACTACCCTGATAACTGTCTAGAGAAAGGCCAATGGAAAAGTCACAACTGACTGGCGCAGGCAATGAGTGGCATAAGAGTACCTGGTGTTATGCATTTGTGCGATGGACAGACTATTCCAAAGGGTCAACTCACCACGTTTAGTGTTTCACCTAAGTTAATTGCTACGAATGTACCACATTCACTACTTAGGATAAATTAGGCTTTCAAATCTTAGCTAAAAGTTTAGGAAAATTCTCCTATGCAGTATCTTGCTATCCCCATAGTTAGATACTACTAGCAGAGGTTAGTTTTAACTGATGCTAGCAACAGTTGGAAAACTACTTACAGTGTACAGTGTGTGTGTACTTGAGCTGCTGAGAACAATGGTTATCTGTGTGAGTCTCTCTTTAATGCGCTGGAGAGTTGTTTCTTTGCCTATGATCATGTCCACTTGGTAAGAACTGTGAATGACTTAATGGTTCTGAAAAGCATGTAGATTGTTCACACTAGACCAAGCTCACGAGCCACAGGTTTTCACTAGCTTGTGTGCTTTTCTTCTCATTTTCTTCCCTTCCTGCAAAGTACAAGAGGCCATTAACACTCATGTTTGTGTGTTTGCCAAGGATCCTGAAGGCCCATGTTGTATATTAATTAGTCATCTTACTAAAGCACAATTTGAATTGCCTTTAAGGTAGTGGGAGAGCCTCGCTAGCCAGCCAGACCAAGCAGCTTTTTGTTCTTGATATATTTCTACCATGTACACAGTTGTTCTCCTAGGACAGTGGTGATAAACCGAGGTAATGCTGCCTCAGGAGATGTCTGGAGACATTTTTGGTTGTCACAACTAAGGGGAAGATGCTACTGGTATCTCATCGGTAGAGGCCAGAGATGCTGCTAAACAGCCTACAATCCACAGAACAGCCACTCATAACAAAGAATTATCCAATCCAAAATGTCAATAGTGCTGAGGTTGAGTATGTGCCTGCCCTAAAGGCATTATTAAAAAATAAACATTTGGTTTATTTATAACCATCATTAGCACTTTTTGGGGGGATACTCAGATAAATTTCTAGTAAATGTCATTATAAAAATGGTGTGATATGTAGATTTTCTATGGCAGAATTTATTTTACCTTACGAATGAGTTATAGGGCTCAGTATTCATATAATCACTGAGGATCTCAAGAGGACACTTGAATTTTTCAGCTAGATTTTCCTTTACTTTCTGTAGGATATTATGTATTATTTGAGATTTTGAGGCTTCAGGGGTCTGAAGAAGTAAATTGAAATTAGTTATGTTTTATCCAATTTCTTCCACCCTTGCCAGGCACAGTAACAGGCACTTTCATACGTTGTCTCATTTAATTCTCACCACAGCCTCCCAAGGGGAAGCATTATTAACCCCTTTTTACAGATGAGAGAATGAAGGCTAAGAGAAGTTAAGATACTTCCTCAAGGTCACGCAGCAGGTAAATGATGAAACTGAGATGCAAATCCAAGGCTCAGAGCTTTTACTCTTTCCTCTATATGATGTTATCCCCAAGGACTGCTGAATTTTTTTAACCATAGAACAAATATATCTAAGCAGCATGAAATGAAAAATAGATGGGAAAATAACCAGGAATATCTTCATCTAAAATGTGGCTACATTATACCAAATGTGCTAAGTCTCTGCTTCCTGTCTTGGGTTTGTGCAAAGTAGTTAAAAGAGTTGTGCAGGTTATTTCTAAAAATCTCCCATTTCCTAATTCAGGCAAAGAAGAAGCCGGATTTTTCTTGCATTACCTAGCTAAGTGGTGGGGAAATGACCATGAGTATCCCCTAAAATTTTCAGGCTACAAAATTAAATGGTGCCCACTGCTTCTGGCCTAAGAGCCATCCACTCTACCTTTTAATCATGCACATCCCGTCATCACTTATCACTCTGGTTTGGAGAGATCTCATCAAATTTTCTTAAGAATAATCAGAAAACATTTCTTATAGGTCTATTCTATAAATTGTGTCATGTTCGTCTCCAAATTAGTTCACAGACCCTGACTGTTTTCACAAGATTTCAACACGGAGCCTGTGTCAGGACAGGGGTGTGAGGGACAAGATTCATCTCTGAGGCACCAACTACTGTGACACATTACACTTTGGAGGACATATAGATGTGATATTTGGGGTCTCATAGCACATCCAAATTAGTCTGTGAACAAAGTACATTACCAGAGTTCTGGAAGATCTCGACCATGCTATGCTAGACAGTGCCCCAGGACATGGTAAGAGGCAGGACCCACATGCCTGAACCTTTGTGATGGGGAGTTCTATTTCTACTCCTCCAGATGTAACTCAGATACTCAGATTTCATAACTTAGGGGCTGCTTTTGAGCTTCTGCACATTCTAACAAATATTAAAGCCTCATTTTCTTTTAGGCACTTTGTAGATTTATTACAAATGACATACTTCAAATACCATCTTTTGACTTAAATTACTGTTTGTCTGATAGAAAATAACTGGTGTCAACAGCCTTAGATCATTATCCTTGCTATGCTTATTTCAAATTCCAAAGGTTTTCTTCCTTTGGGGAATTTTTTTTGGTAATTTCATCTTCAAAACCCAATTATCCTGCGCTCTTTTCAAATAGGGCTATAAAAACCCAGAGATTGTTTCCAAAGGAGAGCAGCATCCTGTTTCCTTATCTTCTGAAGCAGCCACACACCAACATTAAGGAATGATCAGAATGCACAAAATCTGCATGGCTGTGTTAGTCTAAATTATGGTACCATTCAGAAACCATACAGATTTAAAAAAAAAAAAAAACTCTCTTTAAAAGCTTCTAGGTCATGATTTCTTCGAAGTCAGACAACTGCTTCATCTGTTCAACTTGCATAGAATGCCTTCTGAGGAGCTTCTTTTTACTTCTCAACTCAACTCTCTTTGGTGAACTAGGAGCAACAGGAACCATGGATTTTAAGCCACCAGCAAGTGGAGAGGAAGGTTTGCTGCTGGATCTAACATCCAGGACAGGTGGGTTCAGATTTATATTTAAAGGTGGAAGGAAGCCAGGCCTAGTGTGAGAAATTCGGTCTAGTAGCAAAGTTCCAGAACCTCGTCTTTCTAGAAGATGCGGTGGCCTACGGCGCACTGAGCTGGGAGATGTGCTGGGCACGGTGTCCAGGGACTCCCGAGAGCCATGGAGAAGAGACAAGTGGGAGCTGTTGAGCTTCTTTCTATCTAAAGGTCCTTTGCCTGATTCAAGGGAAACGGAGTTGGATGGGTCAGCCCCTGGCTGCAAATCTAAATCATAGAGGTCATTTTCTAGCTGTTTGAGGGATGCTGCATCTTTGAGTCCAGAGGGACCGGATGAGCTGATACCACCCTTCTCTTGGTCAACAGGGAGAGTTCCTCTTCTGGCCAGACGTGGGTGGGAAGCCTGACCTTTCTCATAGGCTGCCTTCCAGGATGCTGGTGCTGAAGAGGCTGAAATCTTCAGAACCTGCTCTGTGACCAGGGGGAAGAGGGTGAGGTCTTTGCCATCAATACTGTTGGTTCTGGAAAGGGGCCCCCTTTTGGGGAAGGACACATCACTAATGCTTTTGACGACCTCATTGTCGATGCTGGCACCATGGGTCTCATCCTGATGCATGGAGGCTGCCAGCACAGAGGGCGCGATCAGGCCCCAGGGTTCAGACTGGAGCCTCTTCAGTTGGGGTAAACGGGCCCTTTTGAGGTTCCCGACTTTCCTGGTGGGTGACTCGAGCTCATTAAGAGCCTTAGAGGTGTTGCAACCACTTGGGTGCCCTGTTTGGAGGCTGAAGAAGTCATCTTCCTTCTCACTGGGTGGACAGCCCAGGCCTGGAGCCTTCAGTTCAATATTTGAGGGAGATGCACACAGTGGAGGCGACTGTCTGTCTTCTACTTTGGGTGAAGGAGGGACATTAAGATACTGTTTGGTGGTTTTGGTGCCTGAAGATGATTTATCCGTTGTTATAATAATCACCTCCTTCCCTTTGGCTTTGCAGGCATCAAGGAGATGTTTCAGTGCATCTTTGTCATCTGCGTTAATTGCATAAACCAGGGCTGAAGCCCCAGTACGATCCTCGAGGCTGGGATCTGCTCCGTTCTCCAGTAACAAGGAAACCACCTCTCCTCCAGCTCTTCCGATGCAAGCATGGATGAGAGCAGTCTTGCCAGACTTGTCCTGAATATTGGGGTCTGCCCTATTGTCCAGCAGGTACTTCACCATCTTGGACTTGCTGATGCTTTGCTGGTCCACATGTTTGGTGATGCATGCCACCATGAGAGCTGTTTCACCTTTGTCATTGCTTTCGTTGATATAAGCCCCTCCTTCTAGGAGAAGTCTGGTCAGCCTGAGCCTCCCCAGCCACACAGCCTTTAAAAGTGAGTTGCCATCAGTCCTCAGTTCGGTGTCATCATCCATCATGCTGACTACAGCTTAGAGTCTCTGAGCCACAGTGGCAGTCAGACCTAGCAAGGGAAGAAGAGAGAAAAATGTCATGTATTCTATAGCAGATCTGAGCAGAGTGGTTGTTACAGCGTCTGGATACAGTCATATCCCAGCCCGATCCCAAGTTAGGCTGCCTGGGTTACATTCTTTAACTTCTCTGAGTCAGTTTCTTCATCTGGAATATGTGTGTGTTTGAGGGATGGGCATAGCAGTAAGCTACCTCGTACGTCATTGTAAAGATTAAATGAGATAGTGTATGTAAGACACTTACCCACGTGTAAAGCAGTTGCGTAATGCCTAGCATATAGTAAGCAATAGAAAATGCAAGCTGTCGTTGTTTTGACTGCACAATATTTACCACACATGTACTTTAAGAAACTTTGTTTAATGTCTGTCAGCTTCACTGAAATCAAAGTTCCATAAGGAAAAGTTTGTGTTTGTTTTGTTCACTGCTGTACCCTGAGCATTTGGCAATGATTCACGCTTAATAGGTTACCTCACAAACAACTGTTTGATAGGTTGTGTTATGCATTGTTGTTCTTGGTGTGTATCAAAAAGACCAGTAGGAAACACACCAAAATCGCTATTTTACTCTGGGTATAGGATTATGGATAGTTTTCATTTTCTTCTTTCTGCTGTGTTACTGTCGTAATAGGGGCAGACTCAGAAAAAATTATTGTAAAACAAAATCAATCCAGCTATCCCTTTCCGGGGTATAGTCCCTACTTTTCCAGCAGATGTCAGAATTCTCCTCCTCCTCTTTCAGACTTTCGGAATAGCTTGAATAATGAACACTACAGCCTTCCCTCTGGTTGAGCAGATATGAGGCAGAGCGTGGACAGTGGATTGAATTTGTGCTCACAAACATCTCACCAGAAACAAAGTTCACACCAGAGCTGCCTCAGTTGAGGCTTGTCAAACCTGGGTTTTCTGTTTTGGTTCTCCCCTGTGAGTTACCTAATTCCTGTACTCAGAGCCTGCAAACTGGGTGTTACTTGAAAGGCCTTCCACAAATAAGAAGAGATGGGTGTTGCCCAGCACTGATGCCGCCACCAGTCCGTGGGTCCTTCACTGGCCCATGTCTCTTCCAGCATGGCCCCTCTACATGCACTTTTTGTCCTTCCAGGCTTCCGTTGAGCAGATGGCCACAATTCCTGAGTTTTCCTCCTCATCTGATTCACACCATTCTTTCTCTTACTCCACCACCCTGAGTAGTTATTGATCAATTTATATTCCTCTATTAAATTGGAAGTCAAGAGTTTTTCTTGGCTGAAGTTGAGCCAAGAAATCCTTTTGAAATCCTTTCAAAATTTTTAATACATGAGTAGATACTTGCTATTAAAAAAAAAAGCCCAAACCACACTTAAGTATATAAAGAGGAAGTCTCCTTTACAAATCCCCACCCCTCCTTGAAGCCACTCTCCTCTTCAGAAGTAACGATGGTTAACAGCCTAGTGTATATCTTTCTGCTTCTCCCAAACGCATTGTTCTAATAAATACGTCTCAGCCTGCTCTTGTTGCAGTTGTTTATGTGTTCCTATGAGATTTTCCGTAAAAATACCACCACCCAAGGACACTGTATGTTATTAAATATATCCAAAATAAGTCTCTGTTTCTGTCTCTCCATCTCTATCCTTCTTTCTTCTCCAATCTCCTACTGATCTCTCTCTCTCTCTCTCTCTCTCTCTCTCTCTCTCTCTCTCTCTCTCCCTCTTCTCTTTGCATCATTTTAACTCCCCTGTGGTCCTACATATGATCATTTTATTAAAGTGCTGTGCATTGATAAGCTTGTTAGTCCCCAAGCTCTTGACATTAGAAGCATAATTTCCAAGGACCAAATAAAGGGAAGGGAACAAGTGGTGAAAACATGCTGCTCTCCGTTCCATCGATGGGCCCTTCTGGTCCTGGCCCCCCAACCCCGGCGTCGTCCCTGCTGATGCAGTCCTCTTCACGCTCCGTCTAGCTTAAAGTCTAGTTGTTTCTCAAATGCCCCATTTTTATTTTCCTTCCTCTTAGCACCGTTCATGTTTCTAACAATAAGGCCTCCCTGCTCTTCTTTAATTATTCATCATCCTTCAAACCTCAGCTCAAATGTTACTTCCTTTTTAATCAAGAGGAAAATCATTTAAGATCGAGGAGAGAGGGTTGAGTAAAATTACAACTGACTCATATGCAGACTATATAAAGAATGCCCACACATCACTTCCTCCAAAAGGAGATACACGAATGGCCGAGAAGCACATAAAAAGGTGCTCAGCCTTGTTAGTATTCAAGGAAAATCAAATTAAAGCACAATGAGATACCATTATACCCTCATCATCAGGGCTAAAATTAGACAGGCCGACAATACCAAGGGTGGATGAGGATGGGAAGCAGCAGGAACCTGTTGGTGGGAGCATAAATTGGTTCCGCTAAACTGAACTAATGCCTACACCCTGACCCAGTAATTCCATGTCTGGGTTTATATCTGCGGTAGATTGAAAAGCATGGCCACAAAGTCCTCCCATCCCAGTGTGCACATCCCTTGAAATGAGATATCGCCTCTCCTCCCAGCAAGAGGAGGAATTGGCGTGAGACTCTCCTTGCCAATAAAATGAGGTAGAGATAACTTTGTGCGACTCTTGAGGCAAAGCCTCAGTGGACCTTGCAGCTTCCAGATTTGCTCTCTTGAACCCAGCTACCATGTAAAGAAGTCTGGGCTATTCTACCAGAAAGGTCATGTGGAGCTCCAGTTGATAGCCCCAACTACCTCCCGGGGTGTGAGGGAGGCCGTCTCAGACCAGCCAGTGCCCAGATGGTTGCAAATGCAGGAGGCAACCCCAGTGAGGCCAGCATAAGAAGTTACCAGAGCCTGGTGCGAATTACAGGGATATGAGCAAATAAATGGTTATTGTTTTAAGCCATTCATTTTGGGATGGTTTGTTCACAGTGAAGGATTACTGATAATATGTGTATGATAAATATGTGTAACAAAACATGTACAAAAATGTGCCTAGCAGCACTATTCATAAAAAGGAAAAACTAGAAACAACCCATCAAGAAGAAAACAGATAAAGAAATTATAGTATATTCATACACGGGAATACTATACACCATCTCTGCATTCTCTCTCTCTCACACACACACACACGCAGACACTGCACACAACACACCCAAAGAAAAAATGTATACTGCATCCCCTGGGTTCCTTAACACTTTGCAACTTTCTCTATTGGGGTATTGATCTTGTTAATCATCTGGGTCAGCCTCCTCCCCAGAACTCTGAGGCCCTTGAGGCAGGAATACTGTCTTTTCTCCCTCATCAGCTGTGTGATAACTGGAAAGTAGGATAAAGGAAAAGAGGGAGGAAGAGAAAAAGGAAAGGAAGGTAGGAAGGAGATGTGGATGGATAATTGGGTTACCTTTCTGTGTTGTGTGTGGTACAAATCACATACCTCTAAACTACCTCAAAGTCAAGGAAAGGAGGGAGGGAGGCAGGAAGGGAGGGAAGAGGATGGTATATCTAGGAGATGTTCTCTCCCTTCACTTGGAATCAGTGGCCACCTCCTCCCCCGAGCTTAGGCCTTTCCTTAATCCACTATCCCCAGCTCCTAAGGAGAAAGCAGGATGGAGGCAAGGCATCCAAGCTGTTTCCTGAGGTCTGGAACATCTAGCTCATCTATAGATATAACATCCTCTGTGCACAGCGAGCTATTTTTCAGGTTACCTATAACCATTTTTTCACTGTGGGCCTCCCAACTGAAATTCTTTAAATGAATAAAATGCAAGAGCCTTATGTGAGGATAGAATCAGATCCTTACCTCGTTCTTGTAATTCTTGTAGCTCAGATAAAATGTGCTCAACTAACATTAACTGTTGGTGTGCTACATTTATCTTATGCTTTTCATCTCAAGAATATTGGGTTTAGGGGCCGACCTGGTGCCATAATGGTTAAATTCGTGCTCTCTGCTTTGGCAACCCAGGGTTCATGGGTTCGGATCCCGGGTGCAGACCTACACACTGCTCATCAAGCCATGCAGCGACCCACATACAAAACAGAGGAAGATTGGCACAGATGTTAGCTCACTGACAATCTTCCTCAAGCAAAAAAGAGGAAGACTGGCAACAGATGTTAGCTCAGGGCCAATCTTCCTCACACAAAAAAAGAATATTGGGTTTAAAAGACTGCAGTTCACAGGGCTAATTGACAAGAGCCTTACAAATTATGCCAGACTCACTTTATGCATCATCCCAGATTTACATAGCTGTGTCTACTTCCCCTTCTCAGGATATTGGCCACTAGCCTTGCTTTCTTGCCTGAGCGGCCTTAGTAAGGTCCACATCTTTCCTACAGTCTTAGAGACAAGTCACTGCTGCTGGTGTCACTGCTACAGATGGCCAAGTCCCACACCTGGTTTTGACTGACCCAAAGAAACCAACTGTTGGAGAAACTGTTTCTCCAACAGCTGTGAGACAGAGGGTCTCATCAAGATGGCAGCATAGGCAGACTCTGAACTCACCTCCTCCCATGAACCCAACCAGGTTACAACTGTTCTTGGAAAAATTACGCTGGAGAGAAAACTGAAAACTGTATGAAAAGAAGCCCCACAACAAGGGATAGTCCTGACTGAGGCAGAAGAGGCAGAAATTCCTTGTGGAGAGAAAAAAGTCACCTTTGCAAGCAGCAGAGTTTCATAGCCAGCCAGGCTGGAGCCACCCTAAGGTATGCAGCCGTCCCTAGAGAAGTGGGGACCTTAGCGGAGGCACATTATCACTATAAGCATCCTTCAGACTCAGCACAACTGAGACAAGTGTCCTACTGTCTGGCTTCACTGGCTATTAACTGCAACAGGGAATACCCCCAGAAAAGCTATTGGATGAAAGACAAAAACCCAGCTCTTACAGGGCTCAGGCACAAATTCACCCATCTCAGAGAACAACCTAAAATCACCAGAAAGGAAGCTGCACAGTCCTTTGGTGAAAAGAGACTCACCTGGTAGGTTCTGGGTGCATCTCAGTGAGAGATGAGACCTCTCCAGAG